CTCCACATTGTAATGCAGTAATTTGCCTTGAGCTTCTCCACTTTGAGTTTAAGTGCTGAGGTGGATGATTCTACACCTTGTTTGTACAATTAAACAACCTCCATCTGCCTGGCACAACTTTAAGGCATAAACTGATAAATAAATTAAGTGTGCTAATGGAAATGACCACCTGTGGACTTACCTAATTAATCAGAAGCATGTGGTGGATGGATGGGCATGTCCAACTCATCAGGAAAACTGGGCCCACACACTTATCAAACCCACCAGACACTGAATGAAGCAACCTCCTCCCTTAAACCCCCAAAAGAAGGAGCATCATGACTGGACACAGTGGCACCCTGACCCCACCATCTAGTCACTTGTCACAATCCTTTCCCAAGAGAATCACCCCAGGAACAAACCTCCAAATCCCTGTCCTTGGGCTTCACAGGAGCAGGGTTTCTCCTGTCAGTGATGACCACCCTTGGCCCACTTCCAGCTGTCACCTGGAGTCGCCATTCCAGGCTGATGCAGTGCTTTGACCACTCGGGACTGTGTAGTCACCTACCTGGTGGTCACCTGCAGTGGCTGTGCTCCTAACCCTTTTCCCTTGTGCTCCTGGCTCAGCACCGGAAACCCTGTGGCCGTCTTAGCTCTTTCCTCGTGTTCTGTGATCTCCTTATATGTCACTGAGTGAAGTTTGACTTGTGACTTGAGCATTATCAATATGAGAAATTGATGTTGGAATAAAAAGCCCTGTGACTGTCTGGCTTATGACTACCAGGTGGCCCACGAGTGAACTGCCAGGTGGAAGTGGGGAAGCCTGTGAATTTATTGTTATTCAATAAATTCTGACACTGCAGAAAGACACAGGTGGGTTTGGTCTATGTTAAGTCACAGCTCACTAATGAAACACTGGGATCCTGGGGATGGCCTTGAAGGAGATCTGAGGCCCACTGAGACCCTGATGATGTCCCTGAGCACCACTTGGACCCTGGGGATGGACCTGGGCCTCATTAATACACCAAGGAAGACCATGAACCCTATTCAGAAACTGGGAGCCTGTCATTCTTTTGGAGACTCCGGGGTATACAGCAAACTGAGGCCAAAAGCCTTAAGCTCCTCTGAGACCCTCAGGAAGGCCCTCAGTGCCCTTGAGACCCTGGGATAGGGTCTGAGCTTCACTGAGAAAGCTATGCACCCCATTTAGACCCTTGGGAAAGCTCCAGGCTCCTATGAGACCCTGGGGACGACCCTGAACCCTTAGGAGCTCCAGCCGACTGTGAGCCCAGTGAGGCCCTGGGCCAGGCTGTGTTCCGCCTGCCTCCCTGGTCCTGCCTGTCTGACGGCTCCTCTCCCCACTGCAGCAGGCACACGGAGCACCAATGTCCTCCGTGGCTAGGTCAGGAATGCCACAGCACGACAGAGCCCCCGCAGAGAGCGCCACCTGGTGGAGGCTGAGGCTCATGACCAGGGTGGGGCTGGGGAAGAGGGATCAGCGCTGAGGCAGGGGCAGCAGGAGCAGGAGAGGACATGGGATACCCCAACTCCTTAGGCTGTGCAGGCTGTGAGGGGAAAGTGCGTCCTGCTGCAAAGGAGGTGTGCAGACAGCAGGCAGAGGGCTCAGGGTCTGTACACCACCCACTAGAGTCTGGCTGGGCCTCTTTGGGGTTGGGCACTGCATGGGGGTGCCCCACAAGGTATCAGCCCAGCTGAGCTCCAAGGGAGCGATGGGGCAGTAGCCTGGCCTGAAGGGGAAGACAGGCAGGGGCTCTCGAAGGAGGGGGAGGGAGGAAAGGGGCCTGGGCTGGGCCGGCGGGGGCTCTGTTGCCCTCACATTGAAGATGGGCAACGGGCCCCACCCAGGGCCATGCTGCTGGGTTCTAAGGGGCTGGGGGCCTTAGTCCTAGGGTGGGGTGAGGAGTGGGCAGGCAGCATGGAGTGGACACTCGGGGCTCCCCCATCCCCATGACCCTGGCCACCCACTGGGGACTAAACAAAGGCACAGGCCCCCCGCAGCTGCCAGCCCTCCTGAACTAGTGTGGAAAACACTCAGCCTGGTCCCCTGGGCTCTGCTCTCCTGGAGGCCCCCCAGCTGCGCGCAGGGCCAGCTCGCCATCACGCCCTCGTGAAGACTAATGAACCCAGGGCCTGAGCGGAGGTGCTGGTGATCAAGGAGCTCTTCCTGCAGACCCAGCACCAGGGAAATGATCCAGAAGATGCCACCTCAGCCCCCTCCCGGCCATCTGCCGACCTCCCTGCACCCTCATGGGCCAGGTGGCAGGGCAGGGGACAGGGGAGGTGAACTTGGGGCTATAAAGCAGGAAGGGGGCCAGCCACCCTCACCCCTGCAGGAGCAGCTGCATACTGAGGCGGTCAGTAATCAGGTCCGTGTCCGCCACGCTGGGCCCAGAGCTGCCTAACTGGGGCTCCAGGGTGGCGAGGAGGGTGAGGGCTTCCTGCTTGCACTGGGGGGTCCCTCGGCCGGCCTTAACGTTGCCTGTCCCCCAGGTCATCGTCTCTCCACCATGGCCCTGTGGACACGCCTGCTGCCCCTGCTGGCCCTGCTGGCCCTCCTGGGGCCTGATCCTGCCCAGGCCTTTGTCAACCAGCACCTCTGTGGCTCTCACCTGGTGGAGGCACTCTACCTGGTGTGCGGGGAGCGCGGCTTCTTCTACACACCCAAGTCCCGCCGGGAGGTGGAAGAGCAGCAGGGTGAGCCCCCGTCGCACTCCTGTTGACCCTGCCCTGGTAGGACAGAGGTGGGCAGAAAGCTGCTGTCTAGGGGGTGTCCGTGGACCTGCTGGAAGGAAAAGGGAGGCTCTCCTGGTCACTTCCTAGCGGGAAGGCTCCGGGTGGAGGAGTGCTGAACAAGGCCTTTGGGCCACACGTCTCCCCTGCTCCTCGGGTGAACGTCCACCCACAGCCCCTCGCTCGGCCCTTCTAAGACGATGTCAGCTCAGGGGCAGATTTTATTGACTAGACCATATCCTGGGAGCTGAGGTCTCAGGGGTCCTGGAGGGTGCGGAGTGTCCGTCCACCTGCCTGCAGGCACCAACCCTGGGCTTAGACAGGAGTCCTGCCCCAGGGCCCTGGGCTGTGGGGACTCAGGGTGTGTGGGCAGGCCCTGGGCGGGAACCCGGGGGCAGGCCTGTGTGCCACTGCCCTGGGACCAGAGAACAGCTGCAGAATGTGTAGACTCCAGAACCCTGTGTCCATACCCAGAGGCCTGTCCCCATGGACAGTCCTTCTGCCTGGGCCCAGCTCAGGTGGGGATGGGGTGACCCAGGGGTGGGGCAGGCAGGCACGCTGCTGCTTCTGACTGGGTGGTCCTGTGTCTTTCTCACCTCACTGCTGCCTCTGCTGCCGGACAGGAGGACAAGTGGAGCTGGGCGGGGGTCCTGGGGCAGGCCTCCCACAACCCTTGGCTCTGGAGATGGCCCTGCAGAAGCGCGGCATCGTGGAGCAGTGCTGCACCAGCATCTGCTCCCTCTACCAGCTGGAGAACTACTGCAACTAGGGCCGCCGCCCGCCCGCCCGCTGCCCACCTGCACCGTCCAATAAACCTGCAACGAGCCCGGAGTGTCCGTGTGTCGGGGAGTCGGCTGGCGGGGTGGGTACACGCGGCCCTCATGCCTGGGCCGCGGTGGCCTCTGGGGGTTACTGGTGCTCTCAGCAGAGCCTCCTCCCAAGCTCTGTCCTTGCTCACTGGGCATCCACAGGGGTCCACACTGGCCCAGGCCCAGGGCAGTGATGTCCCTCCCGCTGTGGCCTAGGTGTAGGAGGAGCACCCCTCCTCCCCTGTGGGATCTCTGGGAGGCAGAGGTGATGGGCAGCAAGGAGATGCCCCCTCCTGGCTGTTTAGCCTGGGACCTCGAGGTCCCCCGAGAGCATCTGGAGGAAAGAGGTCAAGGACATTCCAGCAATGTCCACCTAGCCCTCCCAGGCTGTTTCCAGAGACATGTGAAGGAAAGCAGTTGGGCCGGGGCTGGGGTCCTGCAGAGTGAGGGTAGACAGGGTCAAAAAGCTATAGAGGCCAGGCCTGGTGGTGCACACCTGAAATCCCAGGGCTCAGGAGGCTGAGGCAGGAGGATCTCGAGTTCAAAGCCAGCCTCAGCAAAAGCAACTCTGTGAGACCCGGTCCCTGACCAAAATACAAAATAGGGCTGGGGCTGGGGCTCAGAGGTCAGTGGCCCCGAGTTCAATCTTGACTCCAAAAAAAATAAGAGGTTATAGAGGCTGGGCCTCCCTCTGGACACCATCGGGCACCCTAAGGGAGACCAGAGCCTTGGGGGGAGCAGGGTAAGCCAGGTGGCCCCACGGGCAGACTGAAGGACCTCTTGGCACCGGGCAGGGCCTCAGAAACCCACTCCCTGAGGTGCCCCCACTGCAAGGCCATGAGATTGCCTGCCCCTGGGCCCCAGGCTTCCCTCGGAGGACACAAGGTCATGCAAAGACCTGGCTGTCACCCCTAGAAGTACCCCCAGGCCCCGAGGACAAGGCCACACTGGGTTCAGGTTTCTAGGAGCCCCTCCTCAGAACCCTCAGTACCACGGGCTCCATCAGACTTCCAGTCTGGGTGCCATCTGTTGGTCGGATAAGAACCTAGGGGCTGCTGGGTCTGGCAGTGTCCTGGAAGGTCAGCTGGTGTCCCTGGCCACCCGAAGGCCTGGAGAGCCTGCCTGCCACCCAGGCCAAACCAATGTGTACCTGACCTGAGAGCTCCGCCCAGCAGGCTCCGATGGCTGGGCCTGGGCCTCTGGCTGCAGACCACCTGGGGGCCGGCCGCCGGGCTGGGAGCAGACCCCTCCACGGTGCCGGGCCTGCGAGCTCCTCCCCCTGCAGCCCTGGGGATCCTTCCCAGGTGGTCCTTCTCTTCATGACCCCACCAGCACCCCCACCTAGAGAAGACATCCTGGGCCCCCAGCAAGCCCCGCCCCTGGAGTGGGAGCCAGGACGGGACAGGCGGGTGGACGGCTGGACACTGGACCCGGAAGAGGAGGGGAGGAGGAGGCTGGGATCTGTCCGTGGGAATACCCTGCTGTCCCGTTCGCACGGCTAGAGGCAGGGGCGTCCTGCTGGAGTCGAGGTATGTGGGATGGCTGCTGGGGCGGGCAGCCAAAGCTGGACGGGAAGGGGGCTGGCTGAGTGTGCCTGCTCTCCAGCCAGCCCTGGGTCATGTTGGCCTGGACCTTGAGGGCTGATGGGCAGATGCCCCCCAGGTGCCAACAACCTCCCTCGAGGGGGTAAGAGTCAGGGTGCAGAGAACCCTTGAGGGTGCCAGGACTCCTGGGGCCAGTCCAGCTCTGTGGGATACAGATTGTGGCCCGTCCCAGGTGGACGCCAGGCTCAGAAACCTGGTTTCAGGGCCCAGATGTCCTGCGGCCTGGGTGCCATCTGGGGAACTCTGGTCTGAGGCCTCAGTTCTCATGTGGTGTGCCACCCTCAGCCCGGCCTGAGCTGGCCATCGCCCTCTCCCTTCCCGAAACCTGCCCCATCTCCAAGACACAGGACTGTGCTCCCTGAGGCCTGCCACCCAGCCCTTGCTCCCTGAGTGTGCCCTTGAAAAGGTCGGGGAGGGAGACCAGAGGGACGAGCAGGCACCTCTCGACCCCGCCCTGGGCACGAATAGGAAATTTCTACCCACGGTGACCAGGGTCCAGGTGGCAGAGGCAAGATCAGACCACTCTCTTCAGCACCATCCTGGGGGCCGACCCAGACGTCCCATCTGGAGGCAGGGGGTATGGACACTCCCTGGAGCCCCCTGGTCAGTCCACCTAGGCCAGGCCCACAGACCTGGGCTTCACAATTCCCATGGGGCCTTGTGCCTCTGGGAACCTGGGCTCCTGGCAGCAGTGGTCAGCTGCGTCCAGCCTGAGTGTCAGCCTGGCTTTGGGGTTGGGGCCACCCTGCTGGCCCCCTGACCCCCTAGCAGCCTCTTCCAGTGTCACCAAGAGCAGCCCACACACCTGCCCGGTACTCAGCCTGGTCTGACTGGTGTCCCACCTGCCCACACTCAGGTGGGAACTGTTGTACCCTGTTCTGAGAGAGGAGACTGAGGCCTGGAGCCGCACAGGTGGCCCTGCTGGGCACAGTGCCGTCCTTCCCCACTAGGGGCCTTCCGTCAGTGCAGCTGCCGTCAAGCTTGCTCCCAGATTGCGTCTGCTCCTGGCACAGACTGGCTGGCACCTCTGCCTGGCCCTGGGGCAGTATTTGCCTTCTCCTGTCAGCAGTAAATATTTACTGTCCTCTCTGCTATCCAGGCCTGAGCAGACCCTGAGGAGCACAAGACATGGACACAGGGAGGCCAAGGTGGACCCCTTGTCCTGAGGTCCCTGTGCCCAATAAGGGTCCTGCCCAAGATCAAGGACCAGGTGGCTTTTGAACCTGGGCACCCAGAAGAGGCCCGAATTCTTACCAGGGCCAAATGCTGGGCAAAAAATCTTGAGACAGCCTGAGAGGGGAGGGGCGGGCGCTGCCCTCAGACCCTGCAGGGCCGACCCGCACCCTGGTAGCTCTTCCCCTGCAGACACCCGTGGGCTCTGAACAATGGGGCCAGGAGCAGTCATTTGCAGACACAGCCAGCAGATGGCGCCAAAGCCTCATTTTTTGAGGTGCTCCGGTCTGCAGGTCCCACTTCTGTCCACTGAGTTTGGGGGCTGCTTTCTGCTTGGATACCACCCGGCAAGGGGTTCCCTGGCAGGCTTGCCACCCTGGACTCTGGGGCATGAGGTAGAGCGGGGAGAGAGGCTTCTTTGGGGGCTGGGGTACAGCCACAGCCCCCAGGGTCAGCTCCAGCTTGGCCGTCCAGATGGAGGGGAGCAGCTGAGAAAATATCAAGGGCTCCCATATTCTGGGGGTGCCTCCAGATCGCGTCTGGCCCCCGCTTCCTGCCCCCAGAGTCTTGGAGACCTAGAGGAGACTTCAGGACGTCGCCTTCCACCCACACCCCCCTGTCGAGGCTGAACCAGTGGGGGTGGGGGGTGAACTGTGCCCGCCCAGCTAGGACCCAGGACCCGGGGAGGCTGAGGCTGGGGACTAGTGGGGGTGACCTGTCCCTGTCAGTGCGGTGGTCCTTCTTTGGAGCCTCCTTGGCCACTGAAGCCTGAAGGCTGTGTCCTTGTGCACATGGAGGTGGGGGCTTCGGGGACCCCAGGGTGTGGGAGGCCTCAAGCGGGGCCCAGCTGGGTCAGGGCAGCCCTTTCCCATGTCCACATTCCGCCCAGTGCTGAGAGGAGAGGGAGGTCAACTCCGGAAAGAACGTTTGGGGGTGGGGGTGGCCGGGTCTGGGAAAGCAGAGAGGACAGCCGGACGCAGTGCTGTCCCCTCCTGCTCCCACTATTGTTTCTGGCCTGGACTGCAGGAACAGCAAGGCAGAGTCCTTCGAAAGTGCAGCCGGCCGGAGGCGGCCTCCCCATCGTCCCCGTGTGGCCCAGTCACGCTGTGCTGGCGCCAGGCACCCTGCAGGCCCTCCCACCCGCTCCTGGGCGTCCTTGGCTCCCTCCCCTGCTTCCAGGTGGCCCCTCACCCCACCCACCTCGGTGCAGACTCCCCACTTCCTCCATCTGTGCCTAGGGGACCCTGTCCCTGTCACCAGGCTGCCCCTGGCAGTTGGGCCTAGTCTGAGTCAAAGGGGCCCCACCAGCTCCACTCAGCAAGGAAGGGTGAGAGAAGGGGTCTCTGCGCTGGCCACCTGTCCCCAGAGCTGAGTGCCCTCCAGTCAGGGGCCCTCAGGTGGCAGTGCAGACCCCTCCTTTCCCAGAGATGCTCAAACGTCTGGATCCAGGCGGCTGACCCCGGGCCAAGGTCCCAAGAGCTGGCCAAGCCCCACTGCCACACCTGGCTCTGTCTTGTGCCCCTCTGAGGTGTCTTTCCCAGCCACAGGGAAAATCTCGAGGCTCCCCAGCCTGGGGGTCTGCAGACCCTCGGGCTTCTAGGAGGCCTGTGGCCCCTTCACCCAGTGGAGGCCTCGGAACCTGGCCCAGCACCGGCCCGCATTCCACACAGCCTCCTCTGACCTCTACAGTCCATCTGTGTTTGTGGAAACAGCCGGAGCCGGCGGCCCAGGCGCCTGCAGCTCTTCATGCTGAGAGTCAAGGCACAGCCCTCTGTTCTTCAAAGTCCACCCTCGCTCAGAACTCGGTCCCACTCCAGGCCCTACCTCCTGCCCACCCCAAGGCCCAGCATGGCCCGGGTACCTGAGGGACTCTGGGAAGTTCCCTTACCCTCTGTGGGCTGCAGGTCCTTGGCACCAGTCAGCCACATATGGTGGCCCAGCGGTGGGTCTTGGGTGGACTGAGTTCCCTGAATCTAGCTCTGGCAACGGCTGCCCAGCCCTCCCAAGGCCTGACCTTGAAGGAAAGCGTCACCTGGCAGAGATGGGAGCAGCAGAAGGCGGGTTGCCTCCGGCCACGGAGGGTCCAGCCCAGGCCCTGCTGTGGGAATGTGGGACGGAGGCCATGCAGTGGGGGAACAGCTGGCCGAGAAACAGCTGGGCGCCAGCCGCGGATGCAGCAGAACTCAGGACCTGGGAGCAGAAATGGGTAGGCTGGGAAGCTTCCCTGGTCCCCCAGGTCCCGTGGCCTTAGGAAGGTTGGGCCACACGGCAGGCCTAGCCAGGGGTCCCCGAGGGTCACTGCAGCCCATGCCACCCTCACCAGGACTAACAGAGCAGGGCTTATGTGGAGCTGTGTCCTTCCCCATGGCTGGGCACAGCTGGACCTGACAAAAAGCAAGGGTGGCGACGGTCCAGGGTCTGCAATGGGCTGTGTCCTGGGGTGCCAAGTGACAGGCCTCGCCTCCCAGTGCACCCCAACATTCCTGGAGCCAGTACTGTGTCCCCACTGGGCCAGTGCAGGGCTGAAGGCTGAGAGCTGGGGCAGGCGGCTGGGGCTCTGGCTCTGCTGCTCCTGGCTGTGTGGCCCTGGGAAAGTGACTGGGGTCAGAAGGGAACAAAAGGAGGCCCTGCCCCCTGGCTGATCATGTCCAGGCTTGGGCATGGAGCCCTGCAGGCCAGCACCGTGGTTATCACAGGGCCCACCCTCTGTGCCCCTAGCATCCTCCTTGGGGGACCGGGGAGCCAGGCTTCAGCCCAGCCTCCCTTCCCACCCAGGCAGGGACAGGAAGAGGCCACAGGGTAGGTCAGCTGGGTGTCCCCAGGAAGCTGGTTACCTTTCAGGTCTGGGCCTTGTCCCCAGAGCTGAGTGCTCCCTCCCTCCTGGACCTACCCAGAGAGCCTCAGGCCAGGAAGGTCCCTGGCCCGGGGCTGTCCCCCCCAACTAAGGCCACACAACACGGTCCTGTGGGCCAGTCCACCTGGATCGGAGGAGGGGCTTCACGTGTGTCTGGGGCGGAGGAGAGGGAGGCCGCCACCCTGGCGTGCCCTGTCTGGGCTCTGTGCCCCTTTCCTGGGTGTCTCCAGCAAGCAGCCTTCCCTCTCTGGGCCTGTGCTGCGTGGGGAACCTCGAGTCTGGGTTCTGTCCGGCTTTGGCTTTGTCCATGCATCTTCCCTTCCTGGGCAGCAGCAGTCCCCACGGCTCCCAGGGAAGGCCAAGGGCAGGTGGGAGGCCAAGGTGGCCAAGCATGGAGGCCTAGGCAGGTGCTCAGTGAGGGTGGGTGGCCACCTGGGGCGGGGCCTTCATGGCTCTTCATGGCCCCCCAGGCCAGGGGAGACACCCAGGACTGCCCGCAGAGCCCGTGCCCCTGAGCCTCACCCACTCTCTGGCCTAGCTGGTCTTCCTTCAGAAAGTCCAGCGCCCTCTCAGGTGTCAGGTTTTACCTTAAGCAGGTGGAGGAGACTTTAAGACAGGTCCCCAGGGCATGTAGCTGTGGACGGTCCAGCCTGTATTTCTGTCTTCTGATGCAGCAACTAGGGGAGACAGGGCCAAGAACAGCCTCCCAGCGAGCAGGGTGTGAAGTGGAGCGTTCACTAGCAGTCACCGGTGTCTGTGCTCCTCCCTGGGGCTCTCACACCTCTTGCTGGACCTGGATGGCCAGCAGGGAAAGAAGGCCACTGCCCAAGGTTGATTGGCAGAGCAGGGACTTGAACCAGACCAGCTTCCAGCCCCTGGTCTGAAGGCCTAGTGGTGTGAGCTGACCAGAACTGGCCCCTGGACCCTGCAGGAGAGGGCTTTCCAAGTCCTGTGCTGCATCCTTGTATACCTGAGGGGACAGCCTCACTCCTGCTAGGATGCCACGGTCAGTGGAGGTCACTGGGCCATCTAGTACCCCAATGACTTGGGGCCCTAGGGGAAAAAATTGGTTCATGCAGGAAGTAAGTACGAACCACTCCTCCTCTTCTCTCAATTCCCAAGGCTTGTTGAAGGGCCCTGCGGTCACACCAAGGACAATGCAAATTTGGGGGAAAGCAAGACATTTAATGAAGCTTTGGGTGCAATTTCTCAAATGGCCACAAGGTGGCAGGCTTGTGCCAGATTTAGAAATTCCCACTTTGTGTGTTTTTAATTTTTTAAATTTGTTCTAATCAGTTATACATGACAGTAAAATGCATTTGGACACATTGTGCACAAATAGAGCAAAACTTCTCGTTCCTCTGGCTGTACATGGTGCAGAGTCACAGGAGTTTTGGAGTCATATACTTATATAGGGTAACAATGTCTGTTTCATTCTACCACCCTTCCATGCCCCTGGTCCCTCCCCTTCCCTCACTCCCCTCTGTACAATCCCAACTTCCTTCATTCTTCCCTACCCACACCTCCCCTATGGATCAGTATCTGCTCATCAGAAAAACATTCAGCCTTAAGTTTGGGGGAATTGGCTTATTATATGATATTCTCTAGTTCCCTCCATTTACTTGCAAATGCCATAATTTCATTCTTCTTTAAGGCTGAGTGATATTACATTGTATGTGTACCACATTTCCTTTATCCATTCTTCTGTTAAAGGGCATCTAGGTTGGCTCCATAGTTTAGCTATTGTGAAATGGGGTGCTATAAACATTGATGGATCTATGTCACTGTAGTGTGCTGATTTTAAGTCCTTACAAACTGAGGAGTAGGATAACTGAGTCAAATTGTGGTTCCATTTCAAGTTTTCTGAAGAATCTCCATACAGCTTTCCAGAGTGATTGCACCAATTTGCAGTCCCACCAGCAATGTATCCCCAAATCCTTGCCAACATTTATTATTGCCTGTATTCTTGATAAATGCCCTTCTGACTGGGTTGAGATGAAATTGTAGAGTCGTTTTGATTTTCATTTCTCTAATTGCTAAAGATGATGAACATTTTTTCATATGTTTGTTGATTGATTGTGTTTCCTCTTCTGTGAAGTGTCTATTCAGTTCCTTGGCCCATTTGTTGATTTTTGTTGTTGTTGTTGTTGTTAAGTTTTTTTGAGTTTGTTTGTTTTGGTTTTGAGTTTTTGTTTGTTTGTTTGTTTTTTGAAGGGGGGCTGTTTTTGTTTTTGTTTTTGTTTTTGGTACCAGGGATTGAACTCAGAGGAACTCAACCACTGAGCCACATCCTCAGCCCTATTTTGTATTTTATGTAGAATCAGCGTCTCACTGAGTTGCTTAGTGGCTTGTGTTCACTGAGGCTGGCTTTGAACTTGCAATCGTCCTGCCTCAGGCTCTCAAGCCGCTGGGATTACAGGTGTGCGCCACCACGCCCGGCTTGAGTTCTTTATATATCTGGAGATTAGTGTTCTATCTGTGGTGCATACAGTAAGGATTTTCTCCCATTCTCTAGGCTGTCCCTCATGTTATTGATTGTTTTCTTTGCTGAGAAGAAGCTTTTTACATTGAATCCATCCCATTTATTGATTCTTAATTTTACTTCTTTCACTTTAGGAGTCTTGTTAAGGAAGTCAGATCCCAGGCCAATAGGGTGAAGATTTGGACCTGTTTTTTTTTCTTCTATTAGGCACAGGGTCTCTGTTCTAGTGCCTAAGTCTTTGATCCATTTTGAGTTGATTTTTGTGCAGGGTGAGAGTCAGAGGTTTAATTTCATTTTGCTACATATGGATTTCTAGTTTTGCCATTTGTTGAATAGGATACCTTTTCTCTAATGTATGTTTTTGGTGCCTTTGTCTAGTATGACATAACCATATTTATGTGGGTTTGTCTGTGTTTTTATTTTGTACCACTGGTCTATGTGTCTGTTTTGTATCAATACCATGCCATTTTTGTTATTAGCTCTGTAGCAGTTTAAGATCTGGTATTGTGATGCTCCTGCTTCACTCTTCTTGCTGAGGATTGCCCTGGCTATTCTGAGTCGTTCTCTTATTTTTCCAGATGAATTTCATGATTGCTTTTTCTAGTTCTATAAAGAATATCATTGGGATTATAATAGGAATTGTATTAAATCTGTTTAACAGTTTTGGTACTATGGCCATTTTGACAATATGAATTCTGCCTATCCAAGAGCATGGGAAGACTTTCTGTCTTCTAAGGTCTTCTTCAATTTCTGCCCTTAATATTCTGTAGTTTTCATTGAAGAGGTCTTTCACCTTTTCACCTCTTTTGTTAGATTAATTCCCAAGTTGGTTTTTTGTTTTTGTTTTTGTTTGTTTGTTGTTTTTGAGGCTACTGTGAATGGGGTAGTTTTTCTAATTTCTCTTGCAGTGGATTCCTCACTATGCATAGAAGTGCATTTGATATGTGGATATTGATTTTATATTCTGCTATTTTGATGAATTCATTTATTAGTTCTAGAAACTTTCTGATGGAATTTTTGGGATTTTTCTAAATACAGAATCATGTCATCAGCAAATGGTGATAGTTTGAGTTCTTCTTTCCAATTTGTATCCTTTTAATTTCTTTCAACTGTCTAATTGCTCTGGCTAGAGTTTTAAGGATTATGTTGAATGGATGTGGTGAGAGAGGGCACCCCTGTCTTATTCCAATGTTTTCAATTTTTCTCCATTTGAAATGATGTTGGCCTTGGGTTTAGCATGTATAGCTTTACAATGTTGAGATATGTTCCTACTATCCCTAGTTTTTCTAGTGTTTTGAACATGAAGGGTTAGGGCAGGCTGCCACAGTGAAGGTTACTGAGCCATCTAGTACCCCAGTGATTTGGGGTCCTAGGGACAAAATTGGTTCATGCAGGAAGTGAGTATGGATGACTCCTCCTCTTCTCTCAACTCCCAAGGCTTGCATGGTGGAGATCCCTGCAGTTACACCAAGAACAATACAATTGGGGTGGGGGTGGAGCAAGATACTTCTATGCTAATGATGCAATTTCTGAAGTGTCCACAGGGTGACAGGCTTGCGCCAGATTTGGAAATTCCCATTTTGGAAATGGAATCTCACCAATTGGTACCCTGCTTCTGAATGGAGGTTTCAACACTCAACTCCATGTCCTTTTGATAATATATCAAATTTTATTTTTATATAAACATAATAGATTTACCTCCCTCAGAACAAAATGAATGCTTCAGGAAAGCATTTTAGTTTAATATGTGGCTCTGGGTGCCCATGATGCCACCCCTGGGACCGGAGAACACCAAAAGGGAGTTGTCCCCACCCAAGTTCTGTGATGCCAGGAGAGCAGCAGAAAAGAGCCTCAGACCCAACACAAGGTTTTGGAGTCTAACCACACCACAACACTGCAGGGGCCTCTCTCCTGTCAGGGGTAGGGTCCCAACTTCGCTCCCTGCCCACCAGCAGCCTCCAAGAGCATTGTAACGTCTCACAAGGAAGAGTGTAAGAGCTTTGGGTTGTGCCACTGTAATTCTAAACAAGGCCACAAGGTGTCAGCATAAGGCCGCTTAAACAGACAATGGAGAAAATCTGGCACTGGGGATTTCTGGGCTACCTCAATTCTTTCCTGCATAAAAGAGGATCTGACCAGATTCCAGGATTGGCCGACTCTGCCAGGCCTGAGAGACAGAGACATAATGAGGTTTTGCCGTGCCGTGTCCCTCAGCCCTGCATCCCAGTTTTTGTTCCTATGGTCCCTCCCACCTATGGGCCCTATAGACTTTGTCTCCTTGTGGAAGACCCATGGAATGTGGGGCTGGAGATCCCAGTCCTCACACCCAGCTCACCCATGGCCAATGCCTCTAGTACTGTCTAAGTGGCACCATGGCTTAGCTGGTTTCAATTGGAACCTCCTACACTGGCTTCCTTTCCTTGCCCCGCTCTGGCTTAAACACCCTGGGTTACAAGATGCTGATGGAATAGAATGACCTTGATCTTGTCCAGGTGTGGGAACGTACTTCAGGGCACAGATGCACTCATTGGGGAGGCTCCATGTTTCCAGGGTTTTGACCTAAGGAATGTGGGCTCCTTCCTTTCAAACCTTAGCAGCAGACCTCCTCAAACTGAGGGCATCCCCTTTGGCAGTCCTACCATGGAATCTTGACTGGTTTGGGGTAAGTCCTTCAGCCTCTCTATTCCTCCTTCAGCTTGGAAAATCTCCGTCAATATCAACAGATGACCCTGAAAGTAGCTCCTTGCCACTTTCAGCATTTTGCAGCAGACAGTAGGAGGAGGCACATGCTGCAGAGCCTCTAACCCATAAAGTCCCAAAGCAGAGCAAGAGTCATCATGAAAAAATGCCTGTTTCACCCTAATAAGTGTGGGATACTTCATGCACATCACATGGGAACTTGAGGCCTCTATGTGCCCCAGACGTGAATCAGAGTCACTAGCATCTCTGCAGCCTTCCTCATCCAAAACCTAATGAGAAGTCCCACCTGCCCTCCAACCATGGGATAGTTTGGCTCTAAAGAATCTATATCTTTTGGGGACCCTTTCCCATCACTTTTGAGTTATCCTCAAGTCTGAGTCTCTTCCCTGCTGAAAGCCCCATCTCTCCACATATGTACTCTATCCTTCCCATTTAAAAAAGAGTTCAGGCAAGGGCTTGGAAAGATAAAGGGAGAGGGGAGAATTAAATCCCAACATGAGCTAAAAAATCTGGGTAAAATAAATCCCCAAGGAGTGAGGGGCTGGACTGTTGGAGTGTAGGGAGGGTGGACTGGTGGCTCTCTGGGGAGTGCATATGTCTTTACCTCTTTGGAAGTCTTTGCTCTGCTTCCTGCTCTCCATCAAGGCTATAAGCAGAGGTTTCAAGTTCCCACTGAGACTTAGTCTAATCAGGCAGAATATCTGCTGCCAGCTCTGAGCTGGTGCTGTGATTGGTGTTTCAGCCAGGCTTAAAAGGCTGTGAGTCTGGCCAGTCATCCTACCCAGAAGTCCCTGTGAGTGGCCAGTGCTGACAGCATGTCACTTGCAGCCATGTGCTTAGTGCCTAGCACCATATATGGGGGGTAGGGGGTAGGTTAAATATGGCCAGTGAATGTGAAAAAAAACTCCCACATGAGTCCTCTGCCAAAATAACATGAAAAAAAATGATTACACTGTGCCACACGTGTGCTGGGAACGATTGAAAAGTCATTTTATTATTATTTTTTTTACTTTTTTTTTTTACACTTAGGCCACGCCCCCTTTTTACCAGTGCCACGCCCACAGACATTCCAGGGTGTCAAGTGACTGCCAACTGTCACTCCAGTCAAGCCACACCCCCTCCTCACCCCCTCCACGCAGTCTCCACCTTCTAGCTAAAAAGGAGCACTTCCGGCTTATGCCCACACCCACATACGTCCTTCCATCCTTCCACTGGGTCAGGGATGGGCCAAAGTCCCACCCCCCAATGCACCCATGCCCTAGTGTGGACAAGTGCCATAGTCAGCTGCCCCAATACTACTGAGCTGGTGCAAGGATTCCCAAATTTGGAGGGGCTTGGAGAAAGGCGTGGAGGGGACGAGGAGGTGAGGGCAAAGCCATTTTCAGTTGAGCAGGTGCTGTGCTCAACAGTGGAGAGGCTACCCCACTTCTAGGGGCCCCTTTATCATGCACTCTCTAAAAAAGCGCTTCACCGTTTCTCCAGCCTCAGCCTCGTCCCCTTCCACCTCCTCCTCTACGTCGACCCGGCTGGAGGGTCTGGGCACCACAACCAGAGCACCCCCTGCTTTGGCGGCGACTGCTAATATTGGCCCAGCCAGCGGATCATCGTCCGGGCAGTTTCGGCAGAGAGTCTTGGGCACCAGTGATTCCCCGGTCCTCTTTATCCACCGTCCGGGAGCTGCGGGGACTACGCAGCGACTAGAGTACAGGTAACTGGCCTTCCCTCCCCTGTGCTGTGCCCTCTGTGTGGGGGAAGCTGCATTTGTAATGTGCAGGCATTGGTGGGCTGGGGGCTTCAGACAGCCAGGAGCCTAGTCTCTAAAAAACAGGGAAGACCTTCTTTTACTAGAGGGCCCAGCAGAGCAAGCTTCCTAAGAGTAGCCTCCACTTTGGAGAGGACGGGAAAAACAGTTGGAGTGGGGACTCTTAGAAGGCTGCACAAAGGCACAGAGCCTTTTGCAGGAAAATCAGTTTTCCTACTAATCTCCCAGGCCAAGCAGGAGGGGCAGGGGAGGAAGGCAGTGCCGCTCTTCCCAGCAGGAATGCACAGCTGTTTCTCCCAGTGTAGAAGGCAGGGTTTTTCTGCATGAGTTTCCTCTTGCTGAATCCTCCCACCCCGCATGTAGTCCCAAAGACCACCAGGACACTGTGTGGAGGGGCCAGGTCCTGAGATTCGGAAGCTGTTTCTCTTTTTCATACCACTTTAAAATTAAGCTTCCCTCTGCTTGCTCCCTACACCTCTGAACCACCACCGAGAACTTGGAGTGAGAAGGACCCTGAAAGGACAATGCCCTCTGTCTCCCCAAAAAGGGTTTTTAAAAGGAAAGCTGCTTTTATCCTGGTGGCATGTCCAGCTCCCCGGCCACCCTCAGCCTCCCCTGTCCACAGAGTCAGTGTGGGGCATGTTCGTGTGTGAAGTCTTGCCCCTGTGTGCTGGATCCCAGGAGACTCAACCCACCCAGTGTGGTGTTTATGGGGAGGGGGTCCATTTCCCCAGAGAAGCCCAGACCTCCCCCACCATGCCCCCCACCTTCCCAGAAGTCCCCTTCCCCCTCCCCTAGTGGCCCTTCAAATGCAGAGCCTTTGTCCTTCCATTTTTGCCCCCTCATGGGGTGGGGGTCTTCACTTCCATTCAAGTGGTTGTGTGGGAAGTGGAGGGGAGACCTTCATGTTCTGTGTTGTGGCCTCTCAAGGCAGATCCTCTGTGTGCAACTCCCAGCCAGTGCCCAGGCAGAAGCCTACCCACAGCCAGGAACTGGGCTGCCCACCCAGCAGGGGGGTCTCCTGCTTTTCCATCACAGTTGACAGACTTGGCAAAGTTTCCTCTTGCCACCTTCTCCCTCCCTTGTGCTTTGAAAAGGGGGAGATAGACAGCCAAAGGGACAGGAGGGAGAGACAATGATCAAACCCTCACAAGGTGACCCTCAGCAACCCCCCCACCCTACAGCAGCCAGGGCAGAAGAAGGGGCCCCATGCTCTGGCTAGAGAAAGATTTGCAAATATAAATAGAAAAAGGGCTGGGGTATAGCTCAGAGGTACAGCATAACTGGGTTCACTACCTAGCAATTGGGGGGAAAAATCATCTCAAAAATATCATTTTGCTTTTCTCTAGGGGCCGAATAATCACCACTGAGCTCGTGAAGGAGGAGGCGGATCCCAGTCCCCAGCCCCAGGATCCCAGTTCCCAGCCCCAGGAACCGGCATCTCCTCCGGCTGTGCCCCCTGCTCAGCCTACCCCTCAGCCTGAGCCCCAGCAGGTCAGGGCAGCCAGAGAGCCCAGTCCAGAGGTGAGCTGCTGTGGCCTCCGGTCCAGGAGATCTCCTCGCTCCCAGAACTGAAGCCAGCCGGCTGCCAGCACCAGCCCCTAAGAGGTAAGTGTGCTGGCATCTTGGGTGGGGCAGAGGCGTCCACTGGTACAGCTCTCCTTACATCAGGGGTCCCCTTGAAGAGCTGCACCCCCCAGGCACAGATGTGAATCCCCCCATTTCACAGTCAGTCAAGGTTGGAAGGTCCATTCAAAGTCACACTGCTGGTGTCTGGAAGTCAGGTGGTGGTAGGCTCCAGGTGCCTCTCTGCCTTGGGAGCTCAGGTGTGGGCAAAGCAGGTTCCCCGCAGTCTCTGCAGCAGGCTCTGCAGCACGGAGGTCCTTGGAGACTCCTGAGAGGAGAGTGGCAAAAGTGGGCAGGAGTCAGAGGGAGAAGGCAGGCCGCACAGGGGCAGGCAGGGTTCCAAGTGAGCCCAGATCTGAGAAGGGGGGAAGAAAACCGAAGGGGAAAAAGAAAAAAATCTCCAGCTGGGAGACACTGAGAGAGCCAAGGGAAGCTGGGGGGTGTGAGGCTGGTGTTCTGCCTCTTGGAGCTGCCAGGCTGTGGGGCCACCAGCAGTGGCTTGACCTCTCTGTACCCACTGGACAAAGTCTGCTTCCAGCCTCCTGGCTGCAGGGTGAACAGCAAATGAGACAATGACCAGAGGCATTCTGAGCACCGTGAGGGGCCTTACAAGTGGCAGTGTCACGATTCCATTGTGTTCTGGAGGCCAGCAGGGCTTCCTGTGAGTGAGTGAGTGGGGGCTGGGGGGCGGGTGGCTAGAAGCAGCCTGGGGCCAGAGCCGCCTCTGACTCTGCCGGAGCAAGCTGGGTGGTGGCCACCACTTCATTGTTCAGGTACTGGGGG